ACAAGGCATAACTCTCTACTTACATTGAGTCAGAGCAATGATTTAGAAATTTCTGGATCTGTGCCTGTGTATATGTACACATGTCTCTATGGGGCATATAGAAATTTAGTCAAAAGTGAGAGCCTAAGCACATCTACTTAGCCAATAAGCATTTGATAGGACCTACGGCAGTGGTTTACAGCACACTCCCTTCCACATGTCTAACTAATTATCACTCACCTCTACATGCTGGAAACCAAGTCCGGTGAAGAGAAAGCAGATCTTAAACTCTTAAGCAGAAAATCAGTTTCAAATTACAAACTATAGTTGTTTATCTGGGCACATTAAAACCTCATTGTAACATGATGTGTTATCACATGAATTCAGCGTTATACCAGGTAGGTATTAAATCAGGTTCCCAACTAGTCAGCTCATACATAAATACAAAGAAGGCACAAAGTAGCAGTTTATCCACAATGAATATATTATTCTTGCCTCTTTGACTCTAAACAAATAAATGGCAACATTCTACCCATTTTTAGGTTTCTAGTGGTGAAACATAGTTAAGATAGTAAACTGAGTGACTTGGATTTGAAAATGTTTACAGAATTGAGTATTAAGGGAAGTAAAGAATTTAAAGGAAAGAAGACATTCTGTATGAAAGACTTTGGAGACTAAGAAGCTAACAAACCCAGCATAAAACTTAAGACATTCAAGAAAAGGAATTGTTTTAAAGCCCCTTTTTGCACGCCCCTTTGCAGATGAAGAAACTGAGGCCTGAAACAGAGGTCAATTGCCTCCAATCACACAGCAAAGTAAAGCTAGCATTAAGACTAGAATTTAAGTTTCTTGTGTCTTGTAAAAGGATTGGGACTTAAAAAAAAAGATTCCAACTTCTTAAATGAGCAACTAGCTTCTTAACATTTCCCCCAGGATTAGAGGTATGTAAATTCATTTGTTACTACAATTCTTGTCTGCAACACTCATCACTAAAATATCTACATATTTAATAAAGCATAGGTCTTAAAACTGTGACACCCTGGTTTGAAATAAACTTCTGAGTCTTAGTGAAACTATTAAAGTAATGAATAGGACTTGGGTAGCAAAGTGACAAGTTAAGAGTTAAATGTGGTGAGAACCTGGCAGTTCCAGCAAGATGTATGCGGTAGGAGGGAGGCCCAGTCAGTGGCTGAGAGGTTAGTAATGTAAACTATATACAACTTGGTATTTGTAAGGGGGGGTATGCTTTGATAGAGATGCAAATGCTTTTGCACAGAGAGGGATTTTTAGAGAGCAGACTTTGGAACAGTAGAACTAAGAAAACATATAAAGCCATAGCAGAAATTCCCTCATGTTTGCTTTTAGTTATTCTGAGAACCGGTATATGTAACAGCAGAGTACAGAAAAAAAAAAAAGCAACACACCCCAGAGTCGTTACACAGTAAGGTATAAAACAGCATTGAACCCACAAACGTGGCAAAAAACAGGAGCCAGGCCCTCCTGTTTCTCCCTTTTTGAAATCAACATTGAGTCATATTGTATTAGAAAGAATTTACACAGAAATCAGAAATGTCTTAAGGTGTTAGCATAGAAGAGCTTTAAATAGGAAAAATTTCAATTTTTGTTTCAATATGGTAGATTTTGGCTTTCAAGGAGAAAATGTGTTTCTTTCATCAAGAAACACGAACATTTCTTGAGGAGATTTACCTTTAGAGTCCCTAAATTGGCATAAGAAAACAAATTTCTGTTTAGGTTGAACATAGCAAATTTCAAGGCTACAGAAAAACTGTTGAGAAAGCTAGAGCACCTGGTCACCAAGACTGAGATGGGAGTGGGTTTACAATGCATCATTCATTACTGCAGAGGTACTACGTGACAAAAATCACTAGATCCCATCAATTAGTTGCCAAGAGTGACAGTCACCTCAACTCCTATTCAATAATATGTGATGTATACATTCTCATTTAATAGAACAGAGAATGGACCAACAGCACAGTTTCTTAACTGTTGCTACTCACAATGAATGGCTCTTTAATGGTGGATGTCTGAATCATAAGCATGCATGCAGTGGTAGTTTTTCATCTAGTCTCATGCTGCAGCAATCTTTACCTATTCCATTTTCAGTATTTCCCCTTCTTCTGCTGTATTATGCATCTATTTTATTTCCTCATTGCTATCCAAATAAGGTTTAACAGGTCCAGAATGACAATTTATTATTCATTCCTTTAAATTTCACCTAAGACCCTGATTTTATTCTGCTTCTACTGCCCACGATATTACAGATCTTCTGCATTGGAGTCAGAGTTTATTCTAATTAAAAAAAAACTAAGAGCAAGAAGAAACTGTCTGATTTCATACTGTCGTCTGCCTTATCTGAAGGCAAAGACAGTACCTCATTATTACAGATTGATCCCAGAACTTCCTTTAATCATCCAACCATGTCTCTCAACTCCTGTCTTGCAGACATCTAATCAATATTCTAATATACATTCTTAACCTAAACACTATGTGCCCTCCTGCTCCTCAGGGAGAAAAAATCCTTGAACACAGTTTTCATTATTGGTTCTGAGTCATTTGTATTATGACCTAGATTCCTCCAAGCTTAGCTTCAACTTTCTGGGCATGTCTCTCAGGTACCTAGTGACATCCCTGGAATCTTGTCTATGGAATATCACCCAATTACCGCCTGTAACTTTGTGTACATTCCTTTGAATCATTCCTTTTTGAGAATTTGCAATATGTTTGACAGTAGTTTCCTTAGGTAAATCTATGAGTCTAAACAGCATTTAGCATGTATGCTATTGTACTTACAGTGGAAAAGATTCCACACATTCTTTAGTTCATTTCTTATAATTTTGTTAAAAGACATTTCACAGTCTAAAACTACTGCAAAACAGCTGAATAATATGTCCTTGTTCATTTAGAAGTCCAAATGAAAACTGCCTGTTCCTTTTTAATGCTCAAATTATGAATCTATAAAGATATAGCAAAAGTAGGAGGTGACAGGTTTCAGGAGCTTTGAGTATATGAAAAAAGGGATATATGCTTTTGGTTTTGAATTGTGTGAATAGACAAGAACACATTGACCAACTTACTCTTAAGGACTTAAAGATATAAGTGGTGCATATGTAGAGAATTATTTTATCACATAGCTATAAAAATACAGGCAGACCATCATGGGGCAATATCTTGAAATATCACCTAGTTCACTCCTATAACTATATAGATAGCACAACTGAGGTCTAAGGAAAGCAAGTAATTTAACAAAAGTATCATAGATACCTGAGTCTTAGAGTCTACATAGTGTTTATCTGTATTTTAAACTAGATATACATTCAAATAACCCTTAAAAGTCACATAAGTGTGGTTATTACTAACCACTGAGTCCTTTATAAATGGCAGCATTTTTTTCCTATTGCTATAGAACTTTGGAGCCTATTTCAGTGTTATGTTCGCTTGCTTGTGGAAACCTAATCAAGTATCCCCCCCCTCTTAATTTTATTACTCATTCAAGCTATCCAACTCATACAGTAGTATGAGTAATTGGTCTATTTTGAGGAAGCCTGAAGTCTGATGGATTTCAAATATATAATTTATTCATGTTAATGCTCCCTAGATTCTGATGCCCCCCCATGTTGTCTCTTGGATTTGTGTTTAAGTGGTTTTGTGTATACCTTTTTTAAAAGATGTTTAGTCCTCTAGGTGATACAGTAAAGCAGTCTGCTCTTGATATAATACATTTCCTATGGTCACCATTATCAGTTCTGTTCTTGATCAAATCCTTTAAGAAAATGACTGCATAGCTCTTTGTGTTACAATGGAGATGTAAGAATATTCTTTCTAGTCAACTTACCTTAGATATAGTATAAATTATTGCTACCCTTTAAGGAAGCCTGAGTTTAGTGTAAAGGTCAAGAAAAGTGGCCTAAACAGAATCTTCTTGGTAAATGCTGTTAATATGGAGTTGACTTAGGGTGATAATGGGTACAATTAATTTTAGGGGCTATTTCAAAGAAGTCAGGGCTTACCTCCTATAGTCCTCCATAGTTGTTCCATTTCCAGGTGTTATTCATCTATCTGTCTGTCTGTTTGTCTGTCTGTCTATGTATCTATCTATGTATCTGTCTGTCTGTCTATGTTCAAATCCAGAAGCCAGTTGTGGTGGCAGTTACTTTGAAGTCCCAGTTACTTTGAAGGTTGAGATTAGAGGATCATTTGAGCCCAGGATTATGAAACCAGTCTGGGCAGTATAGTGACATGTCAAAAAAAAGTTATTTAAGAAATGTCACCTCTTCAATAAGTTAAAGAAGTCCATAATTTGAAAATGATGAGTATTGACTTTCTGTGCTCTTGAGAGGGCTTTCCCCCCATATTAGTCTACTGACAGCCTAATTCTGGCTGTATGTGTCTCTGCTGTTCTTATACTGTGCTTACTTTCTTGACTATGTTTGTTGACTCAAACAATGTATTTTCTCATCTGTTTATTTTTCCTTGTCATAAAGTGGGCTGAAGGGAGAGTTTTGATGGGTTACATACATACACATACATATAATCATATAAGCAACTTTTCAAGGGAAACTTGAGGGCTTCTCTTTTGCTACAGCATTGCTTTAAATAGTGACCTTTGTATTAAACATTTGTTTCCATTTTTTATTAGAAATCTGATGCTCAAGGCTACTATTTAGCTGCTTCTATGAACTTAGTTATGTGATGGAAAACAGAAAGAATCAACAATCTGATATTTGCTCCCAAACTTGTTTATAGTCTGGATACGATGACCAGACTTGCCTGTAAAATAAAGTGTTACAAGTAAAGTACAAATAAAATTATAACTTTATTTGCAGTTATAAATAAAGGTATAACTTGACGACTACCATATAGTGATTGGAGGTAACAGTGGTGGTATGTCCTGATAAGTTTCTTGCAAAGCACTTATGCCTCTGTGTTCTCATTTATTGTTTCTATTCTTTCTCTCCTAGGATTTTCTGATGTGCCCTGAGGTCCATGTAACTACAAGGGCTCCTCTTTATCACCATAAGTGCCACTCTGACCCCCTATCGCTCAGAGCTCAAAAATCAAGGCAAAATGGATGCCACAGTGATAGATGATTTCCAACAAATTCTGCCTATTGAACAGCTGCGCTCTACTCATGCTAGCAATGATTATGTGGAACGGCCTCCAGCTCCCTGTAAACAGGCCCTCTCCAGCCCTTCCCTTATTGTGCAGACCCACAAATCTGATTGGTCCTTGGCTACCATGCCTACTGGTCTCCCCCGCAGTCTCAGCCAGTGCCATCAATTGCAGCCCTTGCCTCAGCATCTGAGCCAATCTAGCATTGCCAGCTCAATGTCCCATAGCACCACTGCCTCTGATCAAAGGCTTTTGGCCAGCATTACACCCTCACCTTCAGGCCAATCCATTATCCGAACCCAGCCTGGAGCAGGGGCCCACCCAAAGGCTGATGGTGCTCTGAAGGGAGAAGCTGAGCAATCTGCTGGTCACCCCAGTGAGCACCTCTTCATCTGTGAGGAGTGTGGGCGCTGCAAGTGTGTCCCTTGCACAGCAGCTCGCCCCCTCCCCTCCTGCTGGCTGTGCAACCAGCGTTGCCTTTGCTCTGCTGAGAGCCTCCTTGATTATGGCACTTGCCTCTGCTGTGTCAAGGGCCTCTTCTACCACTGCTCCACTGATGATGAAGATAACTGCGCTGATGAGCCCTGCTCCTGTGGGCCTAGCTCTTGTTTCGTCCGCTGGGCAGCAATGAGCCTCATCTCCCTCTTCCTACCCTGCCTGTGCTGCTACCTGCCTACCCGTGGATGCCTCCATCTGTGCCAGCAGGGCTATGACAGCCTCCGGCGACCAGGCTGCCGCTGTAAGAGGCACACCAACACTGTGTGCAGAAAAATCTCTTCTGGTAGTGCACCCTTCCCCAAGGCTCAGGAAAAATCTGTATGACCATTCCACAAGATGGATCCAGAGCTTTCTCCTTCTTATCCCATCAGTAAAGCATAGGCCTCATGTTTGGAGACAGGGAGGAGTAGTAAAGTAGCCAAAGTTAGGGCCTTACCTCTTTTGTTCTTGAAGCATCAGGGGAATGGCGAAGTACATCCTGGTGCAGGATGCCTTGTTCTTTTTCAGTTACCTACCCTACTCTCCTTTAACCTTTCTATACCCCACCACCTCAGCCCTTATGGCTGTCACGACAAATTCAGGTGATACATGAGTTTGAGGTTGGGTCACTGAGGACTGACAGAGCCAGCAACGTGGAGGTTTAGGGGCTCCCCAATTTAATGCCTCCCGGTGCAGGCTCTGATTGTCACTCTGCTTTCCACGGTACCTTTGGAAGCTTTCTGGTAAGATAGTTTTCACAGGTGCAGGTGGAACAGCATTCAACCTTCCAGGGATTTTTTACCCCATTTCCTTGTTTACTACCCTTCTCTATTCATTTTTTCTCTCCTATTCTTTCATTATCTGGTTCCAGTTTCCTTCTTCATTCTCAGTCTCCTTACTTTTACTTTCCTGCTTTTATTTCTTCTTTCCTTTCTATTGTTTTGTTTCCCATCTCTCAGATTAATCCTTTTGTTGTCTGTATTATTTTTTCTTGTTTTATCTATGTCTGTCTCCACGCATTCCTCTTTCTAACATATCTGAAAGTGCTGTTTTTTCCATAGGTGTTTCCTTAGACACCAAACTTTCCTATGCTATACTACTTACTAAATTTTGTTAAGGGAAATGGATTACTATATTGAACTGATCATTAGCAATAGTCTGTATCCCAATATGTGTATGCACTCACAACCACACTCATCTGTTTGTGAGCATATGAAATTCAGTTATCTTACATCTCCATATTTAATTAGTTGGAATTTTTCTCCCTTTCCCAATAATCAACTTATAATATTGACAGATTCCACTAGCATGCTGAGTAGGATAGTAAATCAGGATGCTCTTAACTTTGTATGTCTGACCCAAGTGCCAAAGGCAGACGTGCTTTATAGCTAAATGAACAAAGCAAAGGATATTACAGAGGTATGTTCTCTCTTAGAAGCTAAATGCCCTGAGACTGCATGGCTCAGGCCTTAATAATGGACATAAAAAGTCATAAAACATTAGAGCTGGAAGGAATCTTAACTGTCAGTCTAGTTCAATGCCCTTATTTTACAGATGGGAAACCTAAGGCCTGGAGGTAGGAAGGGACTTGCCCAAGACAACACTCACTAAGTTAATAACAGAATTTGGGCTGAAATATAGGTCTTCTGACTCCTAGCTCAATATGTTCTCCTTGTACCACATTGAGTCATTGGACTTTTTCTTAGAACAGTGACAGAAAGCCATTCCTTTCTGATTACTTTTCAGAAACCATGTCAAGTTAGTATGGTGGTCTTTCTGCAGTGCATGGTAGGTGGCTAACTAACAGGTGTTGAGGCTGCCACCATTGGACATCACCTTTGGCTGTCACCTTGTAGAAGTTCATGTGTGGAAAAGAAAAAAACTTAAAAAAGAAGCCCTAACCAAGCTGTATCTTCACCATTGCACCTATCTGCTCTTTGCTGCACACTTCGTGCTCACTCCTGGCTTTGTCTGCAATGGCAGCTGCCTGAGAACCTAGATTTCAGCAACAGTGAAAAACTGAGATTAAAGATACATAATGCAAAGAAATGACCTTGCTCTTACAAAATACAGAGAGCGTGTGCTGGGAATCTCTTTTACTAGGAGAAGGCTACAGTGGTGATGGCAGACCGCTAAAGACTGCTGCTAAAAGACACAAGAATGTATAGTTTCCCTCTGTAAGTGAATCTAAAATTCACTAAGAAATTCAGAAATTGAGGGCACTTGCTTGAAATCAAGGTGCTCCAACTTAGTTTAAGACTTCCAGACTCTTAACTTTATATATCATCTCTTTTAAAGTGTGCATGGATGTGTGTTGCAGGGTGGAGAAGTGAGGAAACAAGTCATACATAGGGGGAAGAAAGGGACATCCATGTCATCTTGTTGGATCTATACTACAGAAATATGTGCCACTTAGTCTTTGTTGGTTCTGAAACTTCCTGAAGTTTGTTAATATTTGGGTTGCACACAGCCCCACACCTTCACTTACATCTCTTGTAGAATTGCTTTGCTCTATTTTTGTATATACAAATATGTTACAATGATTATTAATAACGTTAATGATATTGCTGCAAATGGTGCCATATATAAGGTTAGGCTTCTTGGAACATTTATAAACTCAAATCAATACCTATAATCTATGTTGCTTTTAGATTATTCAATTTTAAGTAACTTGTTTTAACCTTACAAGTCGGCTTGATTGTACTTTAAACTTATCTACCCCTACAAGCTATGTCCAGTTCTCTGGGTCAAGCTGAATGGTGATGAGTAGCAACACACGCTTCTCTCTGCTTCTGCCTGAAATTTGCTTAGAGCTCAGATATCTAAGGATTCTCTGATACTAGTGCATTGTTATGGAGCTAAAGATATTCTATGGATGTTTGCTTATTAGCTTCAACACCCGAAATAACACAAGTCCCGCCTTCTTGATAGCTCCTTGATATCCCAATCCCGCAGTCCTTACTCAGGCAAATTGTGCACTGCCAGAGGGGCCCTGGGCTCTGCCATACACCCAGAGGAGCTCTTCACAGTGTATTTCTAAATGGCCTTATACTTGGTAGAAGAAACTGAAGGGTTACTCAAATATAGTTACAATCTGCAATGTGCTGCCGAGCCAGGGCTTGCACGTGTGTCCAAGTTGGCCTGCTACGGACTGCATCTGGTTTACATATAGATGGGTCCTGTTGGGATAGGCACATGGACGTGTGAGTGTGCATATGTATCCCTTCTGTGGTTTCATAGATATATATATATATATGTGTGTGTGTGTGTGTATATATATATGTGTATATATATGTAAATATATATTCACACATCTCTATATATTTTAATGTATTGCACATGTATATTTAAAATATATACAAATGACATCTAAATCCTTTAGAGCGGCTTTGTTTTCATTATTTTTCTACTTTGTGTCATGTACTGTATAAACAAAGAATATTTAGAGGATGTTTCCTGCTTGACTTTTTTTTCCTAGTTAAGTCATCTGTTGCCACTAATCCTGCTTTTCATGTATTTTAGTCCTTTAATATATTTCATAGTGTATAAATCAATAATTTTTCCTTGGTTCCAGCACATCTTCTGTCATCACAATAGCCATAATAAATATAATAAACCCTATATAGTGTTTACTGTCACTAAGCACTAGTTTTAGTATGTTACCTTTATAATCCTAGTCAACTCTAACAAGGAAGTCTATGAAGTAGGTGCTATTTCCTCAAAGTGAAATGACTTGCCAAGAGTAACAATAATAAGTGTAGAAGTAACATTTGAACCTAGCTGTCTGACTCCCAAGTCCATGATCCAAAGTCATGTTTAGAAATCTGGAGCACAATGTAAACCATTTCAGAGTAACAGACCCCAAGTAGTGAATAACTCTCCACTTGCAGGCTAGAGGTTGAAATAAATGTGTGACTGTAATAGGAATGAAGTAATAATTACAGACACGTTACTAGATATCTTGTTTTCAAGATGGTGATGTTTCAAACTTCTGAATTTAAAAGAAATTATTACTTTATGCTATAGTTCCTCCTATCCTGGATTTTCTAGAAAATAGAGCTGGAAACAAAAAAGGTAAGTATTAGCAAAGAAAGAGGAGCAAATATTAAGGAGTATTTCACTGAGTTGGTTAAAGTCTGTTTGATTGCAAGCTAATTTCTCAGTCTCTTATGAGAGTATTTATAAAATTACCACATATCTATGAAGCCCATTTAGGGGATAAAAGGAGACAAATGGATAGTTCCCATTTCATTAGTTAAATACATTCCTCCATTAACTCTTCTGTGCTTGTAAGAAATGCACAAGTGGGCACCCAAGCATGTAACTTTGGCAGGGTGAAAACATTGCTGTTCTACAGAGAGCAAGGAAAGTGAATGGAGGTATATGGAGAAGCATATAAACTTAAATGCTACATCAGTCTGATGCTTACATCTTTAATCATATCTTTAAAAGTAGGTTAGAGACAAACTACCATTTGTAAAGTACATAATACCTTATTGTCATGCTCAGAAATGTACTCTGACTTGCTTTGAAGGTTTTTTTTCCCCTACATAGAAATGAAAACCATAGTTCAACTAAAGGAGTCATAAAGTCTCAAAATACCTTATTCTTATTATAAAAGAACTTTATCATACTAACATCCTCAAGAATATATAAGGTGTACAAATGTCAATTTAGACTCAATACACACAATAACAAAAAAGCTTCAGAATAAATTCCAGAAAACTTGGCTTTAAAAGATATTTTGCAAGAAGAAAATAATTATGTTGATTGATCTTCTAGTAACCTTACAATCACTGTGACAAAATATCTGAGATAATCAGCTTTAAAAAGAAAGGCTTCTTTTGGCTCCTGTTTTCAGAAGTTTCTGTTTATAGTTGTTGAGCTTGTTGCTTTTGGGATCTGAAGCAAGGTAATACATTATGGCAGGAGAACATGTAAGAGTAGGCTGGTCACCTCATCATTTGTGAATTCTGTGGAATTTTAAATGATCCTCTTCCAATGAAAGTGAAGTTCTCAAGGAGAAGCTCCTAGGCTCATATAAACACATAAACTATATTGAAAGAAGGAAAAAAAGTAGCAGGATGTAATACTGAATATGGGTCTAGAAAGAAGAAAATGAAATGTGTGAAAGAAAAAACTCATTTTTTCCTCACATAACCATTATTTTATCAATTTCTTGACTACATTATACCCTTGGTTATCATTTTGTCCTTGACTTATATCAGCACTCTTCTTCATCAACTCTTATAGCTCTACAACTAGAAATATATTCTCTCTCTCTCTCTCCCTCCCTCCCTCCCTCCCTCCCTCCCTCTCTCTCTCTCTCTCTCTCTCTCTCTCTCTGTCTTGGAGCTTTAAGCTCTCTCCTAGAGATTCAAAGGTTTAAAAATTCAAAGAATTAAAAATCTTTGTCTTTCAAACTCCATTCTAGGACATGCTCCATAGTTCTTGAATCCTATATTCCATGACAAGGTTTCTCCTTTAGAGACAAATGCCAGACTACATTTGT